CTTAGATGATCATTTTATTTGAGATATACGTAATTGTTCGGTAGTTTTTGTACAGCTACAAGATTTTTCAATGGATGGATGTCAGGCGGTGTATTGACGTTAGTCACACAGCCTGGTCGGGTTACATCTGACTATGTCAGATGAGCTAAAAATTGATTTCAACTACAGTACAGCACAGACACTTGGCACCGTCTCAATAATTATATTAATAATAATAACAATGCTAGCAAGCACTTATTCAGTTATTGTGTTAAAACTGCTACAGTCTACAGACTGTAGCAGTTTTAATACAATAACTGAATAAGTGCTTGGTAGCAATGTAGCGTTGTTATTAATATTATTGATGCACAAGCTATTGGTGGGATCGTATTGTGTAGAGAAATATCTGAATCGTGTTTATGTGGCATTAATAATAATGAATAATGTGCCATTATTACTATTAGTATTACTAAATTATAGAGAAGGGTAATGACCTAGCGGCTCGCGAAGTGGCTAAATAACCGTAAATAAACTCCCAAATAAAACAAAATTGCTAAGTAATGTGTGAACCTACAAGTATCCAAAAGCAATAAAGCCAACTTACCTGCGCGACTGCACCTGTATTCAACGTAGCTACTTTATAGTTATCCGTAAAAACAATCGAAAAATTGTTGACCTAACTCCTAACCACTAAATAGCCAGGTAGACTGTACAGTGCACTAACTAATGTTTTGGCCAAATAAAGTTTCAAAATGGCGATGATCACGTGGCTACGCTCTGACCTGCCATCTACAGGCGGCAAATAAATTAAACGAGATCGGTTCACCGATTTTTAGTATTCATTAGTAGTTCCGACGGGTGGGAGGGTAGTGGAGTCTCCCTCTCTTTATTGTGATGGGAACCGGACGATCCTTGGCGCCTTGTCACATAAATGTTGTACTCCAGCAATTGGGCAGGACTTAGCGTTGCTTGCCTTATTTCGTCTGTATCATTTTCCTTTATATGTTATATTATATAGGTCCATCTATGATCATGCTAACTAATACAACGAGCGACTTGGGCACAGCATCATCCTGAAAACCTTTCGAACCGAGCCGCCAAAGTGTATATAATTATATTCTCAACATATCTCGGCGGATTATGTGTACCACCTTGGGCCTTGGCCAAACAAATAGCTTCATCATCAGCATTATGCAAATACGCATCACGCAGCGCACGTCTAATATCATCTTCAAAACTTACCATGATGTCTCGATTTTGTTTTCAGGCATTAAGACCTGACACATTAACTAGTATTCTATTTTTTAAATCTGTAGAACGAAACGTCATGTTACGTCCAATCCCAACTCAATCGGTCAGTGTACAGCTGGACGTGTACTGTACGCGTGCGCGCGTGTACTGTGCGCGTGTTTTGTGTGTGTGTGTGTGTGTGTGTGTGTGTGTGTGCGTGCGTGCGTGCGTGCGTGCGTGCGTGCGTGCGTGCGTGCGTGCGTGTGTGTGTGCGTGTGCGCGCGCGCGTGTGTGCATGTGTGTGTGTGTCAGTGTGTGTGTGTGTGTGTGTGTGTGTGTGTGTGTGTGTGTGTGTGCCGCGCGCGCGAGTGTGTGTGTGTGTGTGTGTGTGTGTGTGCCCGCGCGCGTGTGTGTGTGTGTGTGTGTGCCCGCGCGTGTGTGTGTGTGTTAGGTATTAAAATAAAAAATAAAACAGAGAATTGTTAAAAAATATATCTGTCATTTAAAGTCCCTACGCGGTTTAGTTATTATTTACTTTTGCATACATAATCACTGTTAAACACGCATATTGCGCAAACGATAGGCATAGCAAATCTCATAGAATCCTTCCACATAATATCAGGAGTTAATAATGAAATTTCTCATTATTAACTCCTGATAATATATTATGCTCACTGCCTAGTTAGCTCTATGTGTTTTCTTCCCTGACTGGCAGTCTGCATGTTTTAGGCCTATCTCTCTATGCCTACATATAGCAGACGACGATCGAATTAAGGGTTGGGAGCGCGCTACCATCTATGATTGACAATGAAATGCATAACGAACGAAGAGTAAAGCATCAAACTTCTTCTACATGTGTCCTTCTTCTCACAGTTCTGCATATGTTCTGCCGTCACTATATACACAACGATGTGAAATAATTTTATCGGCGATGAGTCAATCGTCGTGTGCAGGCGCCGTTACTGAGTTTATGCGTACCATGGATAAACCCAACGGGGCCGTTATATCGTAAACTTATTGTAATGTGCTGCTATGTTCAAGTGCTTCTTAATAACAGAACTAGCGATGTGATTTAACAATGTAGTGTAACAATTACGCATTTTCGAATCACCGATGCAGCGTGTGTTTTTCTCATGTTCTCTTCTCGCATCGTTGTAAAGTGAGCTTATAGTATGTAGAACCTGTAACCTATGCGAGCCAAATACAGAGCCCACTTTCCATCATGAAAGAGATCGTTCAGCGATACATAAAGGCGTGTAAGAAACTTCGACAGCCACCAAGTAAGTTTATCCGACGCGTCTTGGTAGCGACAGGCGAGTCGTTTACGGATGAGCTGATACTGAACGGCAGCGAAGCAGAGCGAGCTTACGGGAGCTCGGCACGTCTGACCAAACGCGACGCCACCGCCATCTGCTTGCTACTGGAGAACGACACGAGCTTCCACGTGCTTCGGCTTCGATGCAACAACATCTCCAACGAAGGCACTAAATGGCTGGCCAAGTTGCTGCGCAAGACGATGACGCTTAGAGAGATTGACATTACCTTTAATGGAATTGGGCCATCTGGTCTGGAGACACTTATTGAGGGGTTACTCATAAACGAGACATTGAGCTGCATCCGTATGGACGATAACAAAATCGGCAATTTGGGAGGAGTTTTGTTCGCCCAGGTTCTTCAGGTTCGTCCAAATATCCAAGCACTGCATTTATCGAACACGGACATGGGAATTGAAGGTGAGAGGTCTAGTTTGGCCAAATTGGCGAATTATCGATTCACCAATCACAATCAATCACACTGAACGGGATTGCTAAAAGCAGTGGGAGGAAGGACAAGAGAGAGAGAGAGAGAGAGAGAGAGAGAGAGAGAGAGAGAGAGAGAGAGAGAGAGAGAGAGAGAGAGAGAGAGAGAGAGTAAGAGACGATAAGAAGAAGAAATCGGGAAAGCGATACATCATCGCTCGGAGAAAGCTAGATATTATTATATATATCACTATATATAGAGAGAGTAGAGCGAGAGAGCAGAGCAGAGAGAGAGAGAGAAAAGATGAGAGCAAGAGAGAAGAGAGAGAGCGCGAGCAGAGAGAGAGAGAGAAGAGAGGAAAGGAGAGAGAGAGGAGAGAAAGAAGAGACTGAGCCTGACAGACAGAGCAGGCTGACAGACAGACCAACAAACAAAGACAGACAACAGACAGACAGACCAGACACAGAACACAGACAGACAGACAGACAACAGACAGACAAACAGACAGACAGACAGACAGACAGACAGACAAATATAGAGACAGGAAAATGCTAATCGTTGCAAAATTCTCACATTCCTTCCGTTGAGTTTATATACGCGTATGAAGTTGTATCCAGTTCTGAAAGATGAATATTATTTGGTAGTTGTATAAGGTATCGTGGCACTGTCTACAGTTCTAAGGGAATTCCACACGCTCAAGAAAATTGCCTCAACAGGCCACTGCCTGTTTTTTGGCTCACAAGAGGAAATAGCCCTATACACATGGGCAGATTGTTACAGGTATTATTGTCAATACCGGTTGTTTTCGGCGCTTATAGAGGAAACTCATAGGACGTTTTACCGATCGCTTTACCTTCCGAAATTTTCACATTAATGCTATCTACACAAGCTATTATGCAAAGGAAATTGCTATAAGATTCAAGTACATCGCATGTTTCTGAGCCGTTGCAGACTAGAATACGGCGGTGGCCTATCAATGATTTTTCCCCACACAATTATTAGTATAAAACCATTTCATGCAAAACACACATCGCAAAACGTTTACAGTGGGTTATTTATACGTCAATGTTACCGGATGCGAATTGCTTTAGTAGCTTTTTTTTAGCTATATTCTATGAGCTTTATCGGCTTTTTAGCCTTATTTTACGAGCGTTATTAGCTTTTTCAGCCTTTATTTATTGACTTCATCATCTTTTTTAGTTACTGCTTGTAACAGAAAGGCTATTAAATTGCGCTGTCGATGTTATTAGCCATCTTAAAGCTACATGCCGTGACAGTATCGTGTATCGTAGAGCATCGCCAATTGATGCTTCGATTATGCTCACGCACGCACTAGCCATCTTCTTATTCTCACTTATAGATAGCCCCCTTTTCCTGATTCTTTGTCTGCCTCCAACTTTCTCTCTGTGTCTCGCTCTCTCTCTTTCTCTCTCTCTCTCTCTCTCTCTCTCTCTCTCTCTCTCTCTCTCTCTCTCTCTCTCTCTCTCTCTCTCTCTCTCTCTTGTGCACGCTCTCTTTCTCTCTCTCTCTTTCTCTCTCTCTCTCTCTCTCTCTCTTTCTTTCTCTTTTGTGCGCTCTCTCTCCCTCTCTCATTTTCTCTCTTTCTTTCTCTATTTCTCTCCTTCTCTCTATCTCTATCCCTATCTCTATCTATCTCTATCTCTATCTCTATCTCTATCCCTATTTCTACCTCTATCTCAATATCTATCTCAATCTTTATCATTATCTTTATCTGTATCTCTACATCTATCTCTATATCCTCTTTCAATTCTCTCGCGTTCACTCACTTTTTCTTCTCACTCCCTCTCTCCCTCGCGTTCTCTCCCCGTGTGACGATTCCTGTACATTATTAGCTGATAATTATGCTATCGTTCTGAAACCACAGAATCGTTCATCAAGCGTTTCCGTAGGTAAACAAAGGTTTGACGGAGATACACCTTCAGAAATGCGCCATCGCTGACTTTGGTGTAACAAGGCTGGTCGACGCATTGGTGCACAACACAACATTACGCTACCTCGACCTCGGCTGCAACCGAATAGGGAGGGACGGCGCGAAAGAACTGGCAAGATTGTTGGGTAGAAACACAGTGCTTCAGGTCCTCGACTTGTGCTTCAACAGGTAGCGCAATTAAAAACTAATTCTGAATGGCAGACCATAATTCGTTTCTCGATGTGACTCGATAAAACCCATGAATTTGCAGCTAACGTCGTCGCGAGACGTTAACAGGTTTAGACGTTCACCGGAGCTTACGTGTTGATCGCGTTAATTGGACGGTGCTGCCACGCAGTGGCGACGGATCTGATCATTGTTTACAGCAATGAGCGTGGTTGAACGATGTAGGCCTATAGTACTATTGTACTATTCCGTCCCTATAGGGTAGCATAATTCATCAATGAGTTAATATTAGGTTCGGACATGGCTGGAAATCTCAAACGAAATAAAACGAGTCATGATTGTGTACCCAAATCTCAAGACACAAGTATCGCATATGAGCAACCATCCATTAATCCACCCATCCACTTATCCATCCACCCATCTATGTTCCCATCCATTCAGCTAGCCATCCATCCATTCAACCACCTAACCACGCAGTAGTCGTGGTATCTCCCAGTAATGTTCGGATTGAAAAAGTCTATAACTGATTAGCTGTTGACAATTTGCATTCGACGTATTTTTCGCTCATCGTCAAAAATTTCTCTCCATCAAATGCAGGATTGAGGACGACGGAGCTATAACGCTCAGCCACGTCCTGCCCAACAACACCTCGCTACAAGCGCTCGCCATCCGAAGCAACTGCATAGCCGGATCAGGCCTGTGCGCTCTCGCCAACGCCCTCTATCGCAACGACGCGCTGCAGCAGCTGTATATTTGGGGAAACCGATTCGACCAGTCGGCTTGCGTCGCTATCCGTGACGTCCTCAATGCGAAGCGACTACAGCAGGGTAACACTGACGTCAAGCCTTACGTTGTAGACAGTATGACACACTTAGCTCAGCTTAATCATGACGTCATCTATAGTGGACACGAACAATGACGTCATCTATGGTGGGCATGAACCATGACGTTACATGTAGTAGGCATGAATCATGACGTCACACGTAGTAAGCATCGGACATCCGTCGTGTATAGTACGCATCTATCATAAAGTCTTCTATAGCATGAATGCTTAACGCGGTCACCTACGGTGCTCATATATCACAATGTCACATATCGCACCGCAGACGTTTAAAAAGCCAGCGTTACTCATCATCTCTGTAAATCCTACCTGGCTAATAGATATTAATGCCTGGAGGTAGACTAAGGTGTTTACTCCGCATCACAGCATTAAAATAAAATAAATTACGTATACATGCAATGAACTGCCTGCGGATACGTGTTATATGGATTTTCTAAACGATGTTATAAATGAGGTTATAAACGTATCGGTGATAGGAACACATCCATACTATAATTATGTGCGTGTGCGTGCGTACGTGTGTGCGTGTGTGTGTACTCTATTCTTCCATCAATCCATCGAACCATCCATTCGTCCATACATTCATCATGCATCTGTTAATTTATCCATCAATCCATGCGTCCGTTTCTCTATCCGCCCGCTCGTCCATTCGTCCGTTCGTACATACATAAATATATTCAAGCATCCATTCACCTATCTAGCCATTCATCTAGCTATCTACTGCACAGAGGCTTTCGCGTTTAATTGCCTCTTTTTGACAATGTGGTAATTATCATGAATTTCGAATACAAATAATACATTCATAAACACGAATCATGGAATAACCAGCAGACAGAATTTGAGCAGAGCATTATCATTTAATGCAATTAGATACGTCATATACGACGTGAAACCTTCGCATGACAGGAATTGTTCGGCGCTATGTGCTTAGGAGAAAAATATGTAGAATGATATCTGTCGTTAGAAGTACATTGTATTCATGATGTAACGTCTTCTCAAGATCTCGAGTTGTTCGCTTACGTTCCATGTATGGCCGCTCAATTTATTACTTCTCCACAACGTTGCGCAATGCCCTTCTACGCTATTATCATCGACACTGCCATGTTTCAATAAGTTTTGACGCGGGAGCACCCTTGACCATTAATTTACCTAACTTAACTTACCTAATTAACTTAGTTAACCTATCAAATTGTTTTACTATCGGCGTCATATATTCAACCAACACGCACTACAAATTACCAAATTAATCCACAAACTATAGCATGCTACCATTTCATATGCTTTTCGGTTCACACACACACACACACACACACACACACACACACACACACACACACACACACACACACACACACACAC